TATTCCAAAAAAATAATATATAATTTTCTTAGATAAAAGAGACACCGGTGTTTAACCTGCGCAAATGTTGCCAATTTCTAAAGAAAGGTTAACGGAGTGGGGGAACTGGGCAGGGACCCGAACTCTGTGACAGGGACCGGACTTTGTTTATTAGCATCATAATGAACTATTAGATTTATTTAAAATATATGTTCAATGGAATTTTTTATTATGAAATAAATTTAACTGATTTTTTAATATCAAATAGATGCCACGACATTTTATGTAAAGAGAAGACCTTTTAAAGAATATTTCATTAGCTATTATTTACTACGGACTTTTCTGTAAGAGACTACAGTAAAATGTTGAAATAGAATATTGTTAATCGAGTAAAAAATGGTACTCATTGTCTAAGAGTATTATAAAAAAGCATGTGCGCAGGTGAATACTGCAAATTAAACCTTGTGAGTTGAACATTATATTTTTTCTACGACTATCACATAATATTAAAAATTAGTCAAAATGAGAAAATGCTGTTTTGTATTATAACCTCAGAAAAAGATATATTAAAGCTTGTTTCTTTAGGAATATTAATTAATATAGAGGATGAGTCATATAAAACTCTAGAAATGCATATGTCTGAAACCAGATAACATTTAAAAATTTAAAAGTCATTGGGTCGCTAGGAGCGGGTGATTATCGAAATAAATTATTGATTATTAATAATAATCGATTATTTTCGATCAATCGATTATTTTCAAACAATCTATTTTTGTTCGTATTTCCTTTAAAATCGATTACTTGATTATCTTTGAAAAATGAAAAATAATACATTAATTAAAAAGCCAATTAACCAATAAATCAGTGTTTACAAAAAATAATAAACGTTTATTTTAAATAATCGATTATTTTTAAATAATCTATTTTTTTTTTCGTATTTCCATTGAAACAAATTATTCGATAATCTTTAAAAAATCGAAAATAATCGATTAATCGAAAATATTCGGTAAATCGAAAACAATTTATTTATTTAAAAAGTCGATTAAACAATAAATCCATTTTTCTAAAAAAGAAACGATTATTTTCAATAAATCGAATATTTTGAATAAATCTACTCTCTTTTTGTAATCCCTTTATAATCGATTATTTCATTACCTGAAAAAACGAAAACAATTTATTGAAAATGTTTTATTAATCAAAAATAATCGATTAATTATAACGGATAAAACGTTTTTAATGAAAACGATAAATCGATTATTTTTGTAACTCCTATCGATCGCATGCTTTTATCCGAACATTTAGCTCTAAAATTTAGGGATTCGGATTTATTGATCCTGTTATCTTTAAAACCGCATTCGATTGTATAATAAATATTGCTAAAATTTAGATTTTTTTAGTAAACGAAGATTTTTTTTCGAGTTGTTTAGGTGTTTATAATGTAACATTTTACTAATAATATGACTAATTTCCGTAACTTTAGTATTTTTTGCTCATACTAGATCATATTGCGCGTTTTACTTTGTTTTAAGACTTAAGATTCAAATGTCAAAACTACTTTCTAAAAACAAAATTTCGTTAGTAACAATGTCTATTTACTTTTTATTTACATTAAATGTTTAAAATTTTACTCTTTTGTAAATTAATGCATTATGAAATCTATTTTTTGAAATATTATGTAGTTGATGCTTAATATTTATTGAAACCCCTTAATGCGGATCTGAAATATTCAGCTCAAAGAATCATGGCGACTTTATGTCAAAAAGTCAACAAATATTTACCGCTGAAAACGAATATATTTCTTATTTTTCATAACATTGACACTTATATTATTTGCATATACAATATTTCACCATACATTGTGGCATTTTCAACTTGAAATTGAATAACTAAAACACTTTAAATTGCTAATAACACCAACAAATAATTCAAAAAACGGCGGTCCATAAATGATTTACTCACGCGGAGACAATCATAGAATAGAAATTTCCAAAGACATTACAGCTAAGAGACTAAATTGTTTATATTTTTATGTGGCAAATCATTATTCCCACCAGATTCTCGTTTATTGCGTCTTTGCCGATTTTATCAGTCTGTCAAAATTATTTGGAGAAATTACTTTCGAAAAATAAAATTTGATGTGTCCTATAACTATAATTTTATATTATATAAATAAAAATATGTTTTTAATCAAATTATTCTTTGAAGTTTTAATATAAGCTAAATTTTTTATTAAAAAATCAATATTAATCTAAACAAAATATTAGGGTTTCGAAGAACTCGGTAAATACGGCAATGCTGAATATCTTATTTTACGAATTTACAATTTTTATGAATGAAATGTAGTACCGTAACCAGCCGCAACGTTGCCAATCAGGTCTAACAGCTATTTTGTATTTCTGACAGTATCTGACAGTTTCTGTGTGACTTATTGATTTATTCATTTATAAAATACTATTTTTGTGAACTTTTGTGAGAAATATAAAGAATTATGGTACATGCATGTGTAGTGTTCAAAAAGGTAGATCATTTAAGTCGAAATGTATGGTTTCATGGGTAAGTATTTTTAGGTTAAGATATGTTGTTTTCATTTGAACCAGTGGAGTAGGGTTTGTACAAGATTTGATACAATTTCTTATAGAATTTAAATTATGTAGGATCACATAGTAAATTGTTTGAAAAATGATTATCCAATCTAATTTTTCAGACAATTTACTGCAGGTTTGATAATATACAATTTAAATTGTACAAGAAATTGTATCAAAAACTTGTGTAGTCAAAACAGTCTTAAAATAGTTTTTAAAGTGATATTCCTTTTATAAATTAGTAAATTTTTCTTATACCAATAAATAATTATTGAATAGTGACAAAGAAAATTTAACGTAAAATGTAGAATACCTTAAAAATGATTTACCTATTGAGCACCTATACATATTTTTTATTACTTTATTTAGGTTCCCGCAAGATCCTGAGAAAAGAAAACTTTGGTTTTCTCTAATAGGAATCCTTGAAAATCAGCCCCTTCGTAAAAACCCAGAGTTGTATTTAGAACACTGTTTTCCTGAAAATGTTTTGGTACGCGCAAATGGTACTAGATATATTAGAAAAGATGCAAACTCCAGACGGTGTGAGGGCTTTCTATTTTTGGATGACTTATCCAACAGGTAAAAATACAAAATATTAATTTTTTGTTTACCTCTAAACATTATTTATTACCTATATGTATGTATATCTAATGTATGGATTTTTAGTTCTGATTCAACTGTTTTTGGAACACCACCTGCTGCAAAAAGAAACGTTGCAGTAAGTTATAACATTAATAACTAAGCATAAAAAAATTAAATGAAATTTTAGTTAATAAAATTAAAGTATTTTATATATTTAAAACATTATTTTAAAATTTTTTACAGTTTTTAACTAAGACTAATAAAAAATACCACTCTAGACGACATACTCTAAAACAAACAGGAGTCCCACAATAGATCTGAAAAGGTCGCGGTGGACAAGGACAAATAACGTCCAACTCATAATCTAATATAATCTAGGTACATGAAAAAATCATCATAATTATATTACTAAAAAAATATATCTACATATTTACGTATTTTTTTAACACACTACTCTGACAATACCTCAGAGTAAGTAAGTAGTAAAGAGAGGACAGTAAACAATGTTTGTGTCGCCATGATAATATAGTCGAGAATTCTAATTAGAGAGAAATAGATTAATATCTCTATCTCTTTGTTTGTATTTGTCAGTTTTACAGAGCTTTTCTCAGACAATTATCCCAGTGTTTAATTTAAATTTGTTCGTGTTGTGGTATTAAAAGTAATTGTTATTAATATTATATTCATAACAAAAAAGTCATATTTTGTTTTCACTTCATTAAAAATGCACCTACCTACCTACCTACCTTTTAAAACATTTTATTTTATATTCTATTTGGTCAACATTTTCGCATTTAAAATGACCCAGCGAAATTGTTTTACGGTACGCTACTGCTGAGAATTCTAAAACAAGTGAGAAAGCCTTCATTAGAAAGAGAGATACTGATTATATGATAGTGAGATTAATATTGTATAACTTTATGCAGTGGTGGCCTATCTGCTATTATATCATCTAAGGACAATACTGGTAAGTTTAACACTCTACGCCACTGGCGAGCATATTATGGACACTGTTTACAACGTTGCCAGCCGGTCATGAGAGATCTGTCTTTCTCTCTTCCACTCACTAACAATTTTAAAACAATAACAGTCCGCAATTGTATGGGATTTATGAATGAAAGATTTTGTCTGTTGTAATGTCTTTGGAAATTTCAGAGCAATTCGGGTGGCGTCGTGAACACAATGATTTTTAATTGGTGGGTTACTTAGGGTTGGAATAGACAACGTGTGCGATGTGCAATGTTACATCTCCGGTCTCTTTTATCTAAGATAATTTTATATAAAACCAATTTGAATATTGTGTTATCCATTGTTGATATTGAGGTTATGTTCAATACTTGACAATTTATTTAAGAAATCCTTGTACAAAATATATTTTCAACAATATATCATTATTAAAACTTACCTTATAAAATCAGACGGATTTTACGATACATAAAAATCAGTTAATACATCGGATGACCAAGATGAATTAAAATGAAATCTAGTTGATTGTTGCTGACAACTAAATTAAATAAATCTCACAAGACGACAAATGACATTTGAGTAAAAGGTGGTTGTGTCGAAATAACGGTTCCAACCGTTACAATTTTTATAAATTAGGTACTAAAAGTCAAAAATTATTTTTAAATTAGTTATTTTGTCTTAATAGCCTAAACTAATTTTTAAAATTTGTAAATTTTTATTACTGGTTCATGGAAAAAATATACTGTACAACTCGAGTGATTGTACAAACTACTATTTTTTAATTCAGTCTATAACAAACCCTGTCCCTTCGACTTTACACAGCTGACTCTAAGACTATAACTTCACGTTATTATAACTAGTTATTAAATAATTTTCTGTTTTTTATTTTAGGTATTTCGTTTGTTAAGGTCTCTTCGGCCTCTAAGAGTAATAAACAGAGCTCCTGGTTTAAAATTAGTTGTACAAACACTGCTTTCTTCTCTCAGACCTATTGGAAATATTGTTTTAATTTGTTGTACATTTTTTATTATATTTGGAATTTTAGGGGTACAGGTATGTATCTAACAATTGTTTCATCAGATTTAAGCATGTACTGGTATCATTTATATCATTCAATCATTCTTCTGTGGTTCTAACTGGATATATCGTGCTTGTAGAAAATGAGCACCATTCGTTAATGATTGAACAATATCTTATTAATGTTTTAGCTATTTAAAGGTACATTTTATTATTGCGTTGGTGAAAATTTGACTGGTATTGAAACGATGCAAGATTGTTTGGCAAGAGGAGACGGTTATTTATGGAAAAATCAAAAATACAATTTTGATGATTTAGTTCAAGCGTTAATGTCGCTATTCGTTTTGAGTTCAAGAGATGGTTGGGTAAACATTATGTATACTGGTCTTGATGCTGTAGGAGTTGATAAACAGGTAATATTAATTTAAAAACTGTTATATTTTATTTGAAAATGATTGATAGCAAACTTTTTATTACCCTCAAGCTTGGCATGGTAACGTCTAAGCAAACACCCAAATCTCATGGTGAGGAAATGCGAAGTTGCCAAGTTATAGATGATTTAATTTTCATTTTAGTTTAGTTAAAATCAGTTGTGGTAAAACGTTGTCATGGGAACGTTTGTGACGTAATGATCAAACAAAAATTCAAATCCCGTGGTGAGGAAATGCGTTATGATTTAATTAAACTTTAGTGTAGCTGTAATCAGTTATGGGGAAACTGTTGCCATAGAGACGCTTGTTATGGTAACCACTAAACAAAAAACCCAAATCATGTGGTGAGGAAACGCGTAGTTGTCAAGTTATAGATGATTTAATTTAGCTGAAATCAGTTAAGGACTAACTGTTGCCATGGGGATACTTATCATGATAACAAGTAAACAAAACCCCAAATACAATGGTGAGGAAATGAGTAGTTGCAAAGTTATAGATGTTTTAATTTAACTATAGTCTAGCTGAAATCAGTTACGGAGAAACGCGTAGTTGTCAAGTTATAGATGATTTAATTTAGCTGAAATCAGTTAAGGACTAACTGTTGCCGTAGGGATACTTATCATGATAACAAGTAAACAAAAACTCAAATGCCATGGTGAGGAAATGAGTAGTTGCCAAGTTATAGATGCTTAAATTTAACTATAGTTTAGCTGAAATCAGTTACGGAGAAACTATTGAAACTATTGCCATAGAGACACTTGTCATTGTAACTAAACAAAAACTGAAATCTCGAATTATAAAAATGCATAGTTGTTAAATTATAGATGATATAATTTAACTTTAGTTTAGCTGAAAGGCATTTTTAATGCAAGCCATGTACTAGCTAGCATGAGAATTGCCTCCTACCTATTACTTTCATTTTGTATTGATATTATATTGTACTAAGTAATTAAAACGGTTGTAATGTTTAACCTTTTTCAATGTTAATACTTTTTAAATAGAAACTTTTTGAAGCAAACTGTAAATTCCAAAATATTTTTTTAATTTGAGCTCCATAAATATTCATCTTTCTGTATAAAAGTAATTTGAAAAAATCGTGTCATAGTCTGGACCGACGCGTATAGGATTCCCCACCCTGTGGCTTTATATTCGTTCTAATGTAAATGGAGTAATTATATTTATGATTGTATTATTATGTTAGTCCATTACCTTGGTCTTGAACCGTTGGTACCAGTCCTTTGGAGAGCATATGCAGGGCTGTGTAACCAACACGTAGAGGCAATTTTGTAAGGGGTAATTGTTTATATATTACTAAGACGTAATAATTACTATTATTTTCCTGAAATAAGCACTACGAGGGTATATCAAATATAAACGGGATTTCTTTTGTAAATTTTTTTAACTTTATTTAAATAAGTTTTCAAACATACATTATTTTTCTACATACATTTCCCCTAGAAATATATTTTCCTATCGGATTGGTAGCTTTTTATCCCAGCATCGTAAAAACTCTTCGGACGTTCCTGTAGTCATTGGAACAAATGCTTTTACCGCTTCGTTATCGTCGAAACGCTGGCCTCCAAGCGATTTTTTGAGGGGTCCAAAAAGATGGAAGTCACAAGAGGAAAGGTCTGGACTATAGGGAGGATGTTCCAGTAGTTCCCATTCAAATGTTCCCAATGATTCCCTCGTGACATTAGTCTCATGAGGTCTGGCGATGTCATGCAAAAAATGACATTTCTGACCGATTACTTCTTCCTTTTTCTTCGAAATTACAATTTTTAGGCTTTCAGTAACTCAGCAATATTGTGCATTAATCGTGCGTTGATCGTGTAGAAACTCAACACCTAGCCCAGTGGTCGCCAACCTGTCGATCGCGAGCTACCGGTAGCTCGCGGAGGCAATTCTGGTAGCTTTTACACCGATTTTAATTTAAAAAATACAAACTGCAAAAATCAGAGAAGCTTCCGAAAATTCCACAAAAAAATCTAATTGTCATAATATTAAACATAAACAGCTGCAACGTTGCGGTGAGCGATCTGCCGCTGACGCCATCAAGCTAAAATCAGCTAGAACCGACCACCCGGACCAACGCGTTAGTGTTCGAGAACGGGATAAATACGCACGGCGGCGCGGCGACATTGCGCTTAGTTTAAAACTGAACGCGTAACCGACGTCCAGCGGTTAGGTTAGTAGAGAACAACAAAAAATAATATTTAACAAGCAGTTGTAAGAAGGTAAAGACATACCACTTTCATTCGGAATGTGAAGAACAATACTTTTTTACAGAAGTTAAAGATAAAAATGTGTGTTTGTTATGTAATACTTCGGTCTCCGTTGCTAAAAAAGGAAATTTTGAAAGACATCATAAAACTGTACATTCTAATTTTGAAAAATCATTCCCACTACATTCTGCCGCCAGAAAGGAGAAACTGAAACAGTTAAAAAAGCAGTTAATTGGACAACAATCAATAGTTTTAAGAACAGTCGACAAAAATAAGGCTACAACTAAAGCATCATACCGTGTGTCCCAGATAATTGCACAAAAAAAGAAGCCTTATGAAGACGGGGAAATGATAAAACAGGCGTTTTTAGAAGCTGCTGATTCGTTATTTGCCAACTTTAGAAATAAAGACGAGATAGTTTCAGCTATAAAATCTATGCAACTTTCTGCTAATACCGTGATGAGACATGTAGAAGTAATGAGCAATGATATTTTTTTACAGCTAAGAACTGACTTAGATAACTGTGTTTATTTTTCACTTTAACTGGATGAATCAACAGATGTCGTTGACACTGCCCAGATGGTCGTGTTCGTCAGGATAGTTTTTAGTGATTTTACGATTAAAGAAGGCCTTTTGAAGTTTATTTCACTGAAAGGATACACTACTGGACAGGAGTTGTTTTCTCATTTAAAAAATATTATTTCTTCCGAGAAAATTCCAATATCGAAAATGGTAGGCTTGACAATCGATAGCGCTCCAGCTATGGTGGGTTGTGATAAGGGTCTGGTGGAGTTATGTCGTAAAGATGAAACTTTTCCGCAATTTCTCTGTTACCACTGCATTATCCATCAGCAAGCATTATGTGGAAATTTCCTGAAACTAAACAACGTTATGAAACTGGTGGTAATAATTGTGAACAAGATTAGAGCTCAAGCGTTACAAAGAAGATTATTCAAAACCTTGGCTGATGAAGTTGACTGTCAATACGGGGACCCCTTCCTTCACTCTGGTCCGATGGTTAAGTAGAGGATGGATGCTGAAACGTTTTAATGATGTCCTATCTGGCACAGTTCAATTTTTCAAACAACGCGATGAACCGACTCCGGAACTAGAAAATTCAATCTGGCTTAGAGATTTTGGTTTTCTCGTGGACATTACAGAGAAATTAAACGAACTTAATTTGCAGCTTCAGGGGAGAGACAAAGAACTAGCGGAAATCATTTCTGATATAAAAGCATTTATCAAAAAGCTGGAGTTTTGGGAACAAAACCTAATTAACAGCGATGCCAAGCATTTTCCTATTCTTTCAGAAAAAATATCTCAAAATCCATTAGAACCCTATGATAGCAAATATCCTGTAGAAATAGTTTCTACCCTGAAGAATAACTTCAAAAATCGTTTTAAGGATTTCAACGAAATGGCTTTAGTAGGGCAGTTTGTTGTTTCACCCTTTATGGAAATTGATATCCAACAGTTTGCAACTTGTGTTATGCAGAACTTTGGCGAAGACATCGCTGCAACAGAAATGGAAGTAATTGAGTTTCAAAATGATTTAGCCTTAAAATCGTTAGTCTCAAGTACCAAATGTATCTGGCCTATTGTAAGTAAAGACAAATATTCAGTTCTATGCCGTGTTGCCTTGAAAGTGAAAGCATTATTCAGTTCAACCTAATTGTGTGAATCTTCTTTTTCCAATATGAAGTTTATTAAGAACAAATATCGCAATCGACTTACAGATGAACATTTGGACAAACATTAAAAAAATTATCGATGAGTCTAAGTGTCAGCCTTCTCATTGAACGTGCTTTTTTATTTTTAAATGTTTATGTTCATGATAGTCCGTTACTTTTTTGTTGTTATTATTAACTATTTTTAAATCTTACGTGACATGCCATTGTGGCTGGATAAAAGTTTGTGTTTATTTTTCAAACACCTTCGTTTGGTAGGTAGGAATGTAGCTATGAACAAGTACGTACTAGTAATATTAGTTATTTTGTTATTAGTATATTATTAGTACCTATGTATTATGTATTACCAGTTAAATAGTAAAATAAATACATATAGTGATAAATTAACTGTGGATTATTTCATTTACGTTGCGTTACGTGGCTTCCGTGTGGGTAGCTCGCTGTTTATTCCAAAATTAACAAAGTAGCTCAACACATTGAGAGGTTGGCGACCACTGACCTAGCCGATCAAAAAACACTGTTGCCATTACCTTTCCGGCTGACAATCGCCTTTGCTTTTACGAGTGAACCTTTTCAGGCCCTCCAGAAAATTCTTGGTGCCATGAAAACACATGGGTTCTTGACAGAGTATTATCCCCAAACTGTGCCTGCAATCTTCGCAAAATTTTGGTTGGTTTTATGCCCTCCTTTGCTAAAAACTTTATTATAATTCGTTGCTCCACGAAGACATGCACTTCTTTCTCGCACATGGTTCCTTTGCATACCGAAGATATTTGAGCGAATTTAAATCGGTTTTCCCCTCCCCAGAGGTGCTCCTCAATTATTTCCAGATCAATAACCGCATAGAAATTTTTAATCCAAACAGCCCCGTTTATATTTGATATACCCTCCTACAATAACAAAATATAAGCACTGGCCTATCGTGCAGTTAGTTACGTTTAGGATGGTGTAACTCGGAACGGACAAATAATTGAGATGAGTCGTAATGAAGAGGAATGTTATCCTTAAAAAGATATTTTAATTGATATATAACTTATCCTTATTGGAAGCAATTTCCCATACATTTCTGCCCATTGTCATTTGTTTGTGTATATATCTATTATTAAAATTTAAGGAAATGTCCTAACCTAAAATCTAATATACTATTTCTATAAAAATAAATCTGGGTACTTAATATTAACAGTTTACTAATTTTTATATTAAAGTAATTTTGTGTTCCCTGTCACTGTGGTATAGAATTATTGGTTAATCCCTTAGGGTTTGCTCATTACCATTTTATGATGTATTGTATTCGAGGTTTTTCGGGGTGTTCATACTAAAATCGATGAAAATTCAGATAAGAATGCATCAATATTAACTTTTTTCTGCTTTGAATAATCCTGTAAATAGACCATTGCCATAAAAACTTGCTATCATGCATTTTCAAATATACTATAGAATAGGTGATACTAGTCTTTAAGAAACTTATTGGATTTTTAGTTAGGTCAAAAAAATAAAAAAAAAATATATTATTTTTCAATAACCTTTTAGGTAACAAAAAATCACATAATATATTATAAAGTTTTTGAATATTTCCATAGATGAATTCCTACGGATGGTCGAAACATTATTAAAGAAACAGATTTTAAATTTAATAAAATATATGGACTAAGAATGACTAGTAAATATAAAAAAAGAATCAGTGACGTTTCTTTACTTTGCTAGTTTTTTTATATGTTTTTAGATAATTAATATTTTTATGAATTACACAGCTGCAATAGTTATTTAATAAAACCAGTTACAAAATTCCCTATTTTATGTAACGAGTGAATATTTGCGGGACGAGCAGAGCGAGGTCCCGCAACATAAACGAGTTATATAAAACAGACATTTCGTAACGTGTTACATACATTATTTTTTCTAATTTTGACTTTATAAAATTTTGTTTTGGTAAAAAATTACTTAGACCTAGGCAAAAAATATTACTACTTTCTTGTATTGTTAGTTGCAAATGATTAACTTAACATTCTTTTATTAACAAATAATCATATTAATTTATTCACAACGACTTGTTATAATGTATTTGCATTGCTTGTTAAAGTTATTTAGATTTCAAGAAAGTGGGTTATTTTGTCATGTATTGTGTTTTAATTATTTTATGCTAATTTAGAATTGAAAATAACGACAAAATATTATAACTAGGTTGTAGGTTTAATCAAATTAAATTTTTATGTCAACATACCCTTCTTTGATGTAAACTTTTAATAATAATATTGATTTTAAAACCAAAAAAGGTTTATTTTTATTTGTTCAACATTATGCAACTGGGTGCATAAAGTAGATTATTTTCACACTTGCTGCGATTACAAAGAAATGTCACTTTATACAGTGTGTCTACTTAAGTTGGAACCATATGGAAAACAGTTTTATTATTGATTTTAGGAAAAAAGTTATTCTTGATAAAAAGTCCTGCATGACCAAAACTTAAAATACAGTCATCAGATATCAAATTTTTCAAGCCGTATACGAGGTTTGTCAAAAAATATGAATTTTGCTCAAGAGTAAAGTACGTTTATTTTTTTTACAAAATCGAAAATTTTCATTAAGAAATTTGCTAAATTCTTCACAAACATCAACAAAAGGAAAGCGTATCATGTTTATAGTAGCTAACGTAATTTATAACGTTTTCAGATATTTACAATAGAGTGTAGAGTATAAAAAATAAGAATATCTGTTTTTTCATATAGATCAGTGTAATAATTGCATATTTGAATGTAATATTCAATTCTAATCAACTTTTCTTAATGAAAATTTTCGATTTTGTCAAAAATAAACGTACTCTTGAGTAAAATTCATATTTTTTGACAAACCTCGTATACGGCTTAAAAAATTTGATATGTGATGACTGTATTTTAGGTTTTGGGTCATGCAGGACTTTTTATCAAGAATAACTTTTTTTCCTAAAATCAATAATAAAAATGTTTTCCATATGGTTCCAACTTAAGTAGATACACAGTATATCTAAATTAGAAAAACATTTATTATACAAAAAAGAGTTCATAAAATTAAGATGGCTTTTAAAATACATTATAATTTTATATATTATTTCTTTTTAGCCAAAAGTCAATTATTCGGAATGGCGTCTTCTATATTTCATTGCATTCATACTATTAGTAGGTTTTTTTGTACTTAACATGTTCGTCGGAGTTGTGGTGGAAAATTTTCATAGATGTAGAGAAGAACAAGAGAAAGAAGAAAAAATCAGAAAGGCCGCAAAAAGGCAACTACAACTTGAAAAAAGAAGAAGAAGTAAGTTTATTGTTCGTTAATAATTAGGTCAGGGTTGATTTTTTGGATCAATAATAAATAAAAACCAATATTTGTTTAATATTAGTATACATAATGTGATAGACGCTTGAGAATGTTATTTATGGACTATTTATGCACTTTTATTTTCTATTTTCAGGAACTAAGATGGCACTTTTACTCCCTATAGAATAAAAATGTACTTTTAATCCCTAAAATGCCACTTCAGTTCCTTGGTATATTTCATTTTATTCGCTATAATAATACACATACCTAATACCAATAAAATTTAAATTTTTTTTAAGTATTGTTCTCTTAATTTCTGTCATACGTGACTTTTTAAGTTTAGGGTTCTATTAAAGTATGTTTCATTAAAGAAAAGTACAAATGCGTCACAGATGACGAAATACGCAGGAACTAGTTTTTGGTCTTCAGTAATTTATAAAGGTTAAATCAAGATATTTCTGATTTTTGATTTGTTTTTATATGCCTTATTAAATAATTTTTGTTTTACGAATAGCTTTGTCAAAATTAAAAACATTGTAATTCCTTTCATCGGATGACAGCGGTAAAATAACAATTACAAAAAATTATTAGAATGTTATAATTTTTCCATTAGTTTATTTTTTTTAATACAACAAATAATAAGACGAACAACCGTGAATAAGAATTACCTAAAAATAGTAAGTAGATAGTTACTATTTTTTTCTGAACAATAATCAAAATAATACAAAATAAATAGCAAAAATATTAACTCTAGGAATTTTATTATGATAAATAAAATGTTTTTAAGTAATTAGCAATGGTAGTATTTTTACAAAATTAAAAAAATTAAAAAAATGCTTCTATAAGGAATTAGAACCGCGTCGCGACATGTAAAGTTGATAAAATTGAACGCTCTATGAACTGAGCCATTAGCGTATGTCACATAATTTATCTAATCAAACTATTACACATGAATATTGAGCAGAAAAAAGACATAAAAGCAATGTAGTTAGGTACTTTGACACTATTTTAATAATATAAAAAAAATATATCTAGGATCTAGATATAAAAATCAATATTAACAATTTAATCATTAAATTGATTTTACTAATAATGTGGACATTACACATAGATCAAAACAGAAATTATGCGTTTGATATATTTGATAGTTGATGCGGAAAGTAGATTCATATTCACACACGGGTGAAAAGAAGATTCTTATTCATACGCGTGTGATATAGGGCACTACCCATAAGCCTAAATAGTGCCGTATATGTCACTTTCCTAAGTGGTCGTAGGTCGTAGGTCCTAGATATTTATTTTTAATAAATTAACAAAATAAATTTAACGTAAGCACATTATTTTTATGATTTTCTTCTAGTTAATATATAGTATATGCAATAAAGTTGGATCCATATCGGATTTTTTTTTTAATATTACGTATACAGAGGTATTTAAAAACTTAAAATAGCCCATATCAAAGTTGGCTACTGACAGTTTAGTTATCTGCCAAACCTACATTTAAAGAAAAGCCATTTTTAAACGATATTTTTAAAAATATTGCGAATTTGCCAGATAACTAACGTCAGTAGCTAACTTTGGTATGCCCTACGACGTTTTTTCTTTATTCGTAATAAACAAAATCTGATGTACATCCAACTTTATGGCATACGCTGTATATATTTAATTAGATAATACATGTGACATTAGTATAATAGCTAAGTTCTAGTGTGTTCAGCTTTATCAAAATAACATGTCGCGACCATGTCGCGAAAACGCGGAATCCATTCCCGATATAAGCAATCTTATTTATTTTTCATTTTGGAAAAATATTAGTGTAGTTTTTAATTATATTTATTATAATATTCGAAGAATTTATGGTTAACATATTATATAATATTGTACGATAATATGTAAAGTACCTAAGTATAAAAGATATTTTTGATACAAGTGGATGAAATAGGATTTAGGATTTTGCGTGCTAGCATAGGCACCTACCTACAACGATTGCGAAAAAAATATTTTCATGCAAATGTCTTATACAAAATTTGTAACTCTTCTCAAATTAAAAAATATTTAAATAGAAGATGGGTCTGAAAATTTTCCGACCTAACAATGATACCTATAAGACATTTTTTCCTTAAATTTATTTTTATTTTTCTACATAGTCTCGTTGTAAGTTTACACACTTTTCCCAGCGATGCTCCCATCTCTTTAGCCCGTCCAAAAAGTACTCGGAGTCTTTCTCTTAAAAAAAATTGTTTACGAAGGTGATTGCCTCATCATTTGACGAAAATCTCTGTCCTCCAAGTCCAATTTTTAGATTAGGGAATTAAAAGAAGTCGCTTGGGTTAGGTCTAGTGAGTAAGGAGGGTGGTCAAGCAGTTCAAACTGTAATTCGCCATGGCAACCGCTGAGGTACATTGTCTTGGTGAAACAGAATTTTTTTCTATAAATGTGGCCGTTTTTTCGCAATTTCTTCCTTCAGCTTGTCAAGTAATGCTGCGTACTGTGCTCCTGTAATGGGTTTTCCTTTTTGAAAGTAATCGATTAAGATAACTCCACGATAGGCGCCATCACTTTCCCAGCCGAACAAACTGTTTTTGCTTTGTTTGAAGCCGATTCCCCCTTTGCTGTTCACTGTTTTGACTGTAGTTTTCTTTCGGGGGCATAATGGTGTATCCAAGTTTTATATACAGTAATTAATCGGCGCCAAAATTCTGATTTATTGCGCCTAAACTGCGCCAATAGAGCGTTAGAAATGTTCATCCGAACACGTGTTTGGTCTAACTTGAACAAACGCGACACAAAACGCGCGGACAGCTTTCTCATGTCTAAACCTAATACAATATGTGACAAACACGTTCTTTGGACATATTCATAGCCTCTGCTGTCTCTCTCACTTTAATTCGACGGTCGTTTAGTACCATTTGGTGTACTTTAGCGATCGTCCGAGATTACAGTTTTTTGACGTCCAGAACGTTCATCGTCTCCCAAGCTGGTATGGCCACGTTTAAATTCAGTTGACCAAAATTTAACAATGGTAAATGATTGCGCAGAGTCCCCGTACACAGCCTCCAACCATTGTATTTAGATCAACTAGTAGAACAATGTCAATGCAAATTATCTTGGAGGACAATGGACAGTATCGATAGATGGCTGCAAGCTCCGTTGTGTCCAAGTCATGTCTTTGATAATTTTGTCGTCTTCTACCGAGCCATCGAACGGTTGTCGAAACAGAATAACGAACGTAACTCTATTTACTAATAGATGGAACGATAGTCGATTCAGAATATTTGTTTTAAAAATGAGATATACGAGTTTAATTATGCTTGATGAACATTTATTTACGATTTATCATCATTTTAGAGAATATAAACAATATTAATTTGGCAGTAGGCAAATGAATTAAAAAATTTAGAAAACTTTATGTATATGAAATTCTATACTCAATGAACGAAGAAGCGCCTAGCATGAAGTTCTGTACAGTTCTAACAGATGTCGCGACAGAATTGCCTCCAGTGAAACGTCCATAAGGTTGATCTACTAAGATATCTAAGTACAATGGTAAAACTTATCTTTGATTTGTGTAGGTGTATTGCCTTTCAGAAACAAATATTTAATTATAGCTCTATACTCGATTTTCCATTTTCAGAAAAACACTCACATCGACTGACCTATCTATATTGATTAGTGATTCTTTATCATTTTACCATATAATATGATTTTGTATTACTATGCGTTAATGTACCTATACCACATTACTGACAGTAGTATGTTTAAACTTTTAGGAATACTTTCAGTACAATATTAATAATTATTGTATTTTTTTTTTTTTTTTTTAGAAATGAACGAACTTCCCTATTACATTCACTATGCTTCTTGGAGATTAGATATCCACAAAATAGTGACATCAAAGTACTTTGATTTAGCTATAGCCCTAGTAATAGGTTTAAATGTAATTACAATGGCAACAGAGCGCTATCATATGCCAGACTATTGGGAATATGCCCTTCGGATTTTCAATTATTTTTTTACTGCTGTGTTCATTCTAGAAAGTACAATGAAATTAGTAGCCTTAGGTGTTAAAGTGTACGTCAAAGATAGATGGAATCTTCTTGATGTAGCAATAGTGATATTGTCAGTAGTTGGAATTATTATTGAGGAAATTGTACAAGATTTGAAGATTATACCTATTAATCCAACAATAATTAGGGTAAGTTAATTTATAATGTCATTTGTTGCTGGCTAGGTTTGTAGGATTTGGAGTTTTTAAAATGATTGTTTAATTTGAACTATATATAGTCGTCATTCATTTTCACACATAACCTGAGCCTTCTTTGGTTTTAGAATAGTAAGAGTAGATGTTTAAGACATGTTACTATGATTTTTTTATAATCAGTATGGAATATTTTGTTGAATTTTGATCACCATTCATGTCACCTTTTTGTATAGTTTTTTATTTATCTTCAAACATTTCCAAAAAGAATATAAATAGGCTAAATGCTAAAGTTTTTATTAATATTGATTTTTCAGGTACTAAGAGTGATGCGTATTGCAAGAGTGCTTAAACTTTTGAAGATGGCGAAAGGAATAAGAGCACTTTTGGATACTGTAATGCAGGCGTTACCCCAAGTTGGAAATTTAGGACTTCTGTTTTTTCTACTCTTCTTCATTTTCGCAGCTTTGGGAGTAGAATTATTTGGAAGATTGGACTGTAATGCTACTCCATGTCAAGGTAAAATTAAATCTTGAAGTCTGGGCCTTTTTTGATACCTTTTTTTTAGGCTTAGGCGAGCATGCGCACTTCCAAAATTTCGGCATGGCTTTCCTAACTCTCTTCAGAGTAGCGACTGGTGATAATTGGAATGGGATCATGAAAGATACATTGGAAGATGAACACTGTAGTTATGCTGACGATTGTATTAATAATTGCTGCATTTCGCCGATCATTGCGCCGATATTTTTTGTGATTTTCGTATTAATGGCTCAATTTGTTTTGGTTAATGTCGTTGTGGCAGTAAGTAAAATACAATCAAGTAAACATTAAAAAGAAAATGATAGGAAACCTAACCAAAATGTAATTTGGTATTTGCGTAATACTTCACCAATATGGGTGTATCAGAATAACTAGCAACTTAAAAACCTGGCTACCGCGCACTATCGTTAGGAGGTGGTAGGGAAGGTATTGCCATGTTTATTGCCTATTAGCATTTGGAAATAATGGAGCGGTGGAATCCTCAGCAGCGCGCGCGCTGTAAAGGCGTTATATCAAAAGGAATGATCTCCAAATCATGTAATTTTTTGTTATACGGATTTCACTTGGCTCCCTGTTCATCGGATCTCACAACCTTGCGTTTTTTCTTGTTAAGTTACTTGAAAAGTAAAGTGTTTAAGATAACGCGCTCTCACCAGGCTAAGGCTAAATGGACGTCATCTTTCCTGAGTTATTTTTAAAAGATACTATCAATATTGCTTTTTTATGTTTTCTAACAAAATAGTAAATTTAATTGTAAAACGTTATTTTCTTCTTTTTTACAGACTCTTTAAAATCGCTGGTTATTCTGTCACACCCCTTTACCTATAATTATGATTCTATTCTATCTGATAATGGGGCTATTATTTAGAAGGTTATTATTCACACGAGCTACCCGTACACAAATCTTTTGATTTTTCTGGAAGTAAATTCAATAAAGCGATTTTTGCAGATTCTTGAACTTCTGACAGTATTGAAGAAAAACACCGTTTATTTTTTTTTAGTTTTTAGTTTCGTAAACTTATTCTGCAGTCAAAAGTTTGACGTTTTATTTTGAGCAATTTATTCGAGTTTTAGAACCATCCTGACCCACTAATAAAATAGGTTTATAATTTTTTGTTAGAAAACTCTTGAAAATAAGTAATAAAGCAGTCGTGGACAAACTGTTTCTACCAACATCAAAGAACATTTTCTATTTTTAAATATATAAATAATTGAATAAGCTGTTAGCATGTCATTCTGTTAAAAAACTTTGTCATCTTGCTATTTGATATCAGTTTGTGTTTTATAATATAGAGTTCAGATACAACCTTCAAATAAAAAAAATAATCGAATCCCTATCTGATATGTTGAGACCAATTCCTATTGGAAAAATGTGCATTTTGTATAGGTTTTATGTTTAAAATTACTCTCCTTGCAAACCTATTATTTTCTAGGTTTTAATGAAACATTTAGAAGAATCACACAAACAACTTGAGGATGAACACGATTTGGACGTTCAAATCGAACAAGAATTCGCCGAAAAACAAGAAAGAAATGAAAGAGAACTATATTTGGCTTTGCAGCTTGATCAGGAATGTCAGAAAGAGAAACGAAAACTAATTAAAGTGAGTAAAAACAGTGTTCTTTTGTAATTACTTCTGACTTTACATCCTTTACATCATTTACATCCTTTACATCCTTTACATCCTTTACATCCTTTACATCCTTTACATCCTTTACATCCTGTACATCCTTTGCATCCTTTGCATCCTTTACATCCTTTACATCCTTTACATCCTTTACATCCTTTACATCCTTTACATCCTTTACATCCTTTACATCCTTTACATCCTTTACATCCTTTACATCCTTTACATCCTTTACATCCTTTACATCCTTTACATCCTTTACATCCTTTACATCCTTTACATCCTTTACATCCTTTACATCCTTTACATCCTTTACATCCTTTACATCCTTTACATCCTTTACATCCTTTACATCCTTTACATCCTTTACATCCTTTACATCCTTTACATCCTTTACATTGTTGTAATGTACAAACCTGTAAAATAGATATTTATATCCGTGTCGAAGAACCAAAATTATTAATTAGAAAGATTAAGATTAACAACTTTTTATTGTCACTGTCATCAAATCTTTTTTTTCATTTTTTTATGTACAGGGTGTAACAACTATATACAATATAAACATTAACAAGTAAATACAAATAGAAGTCAATATATAACATTCTCCCTCCTAGTTTTGGGTTTCAGCCAAAAACTATTAGGATTTCTTAACATCTAAAACTATCAATTTTGATACTGGTCTCCGAAAGATTGTCCCAGAACTATTTTTAACGTCAACAATTCTAGTAATCTTGTCTTCTGCTGGGTAAAGACGAACGACTATAGCTCTTTGCCAATTGTTTCGATAGCCGTTGGGGTCAACCATAATAGTAATGTCTCCAACCTGAATATTTCTTCTTTTTTCATGCCATTTTGTTCCTTTAATTAGCGTTGGTAAATATTCCCTAATCCATCGGGACCAGAATATGTCCGCTAACTTCTGTGCAGCCCTCCAGCTAGACATAAGATTTAAGTCACCATCACATGATTTCGTACAGGGTAGCGCAGCATAGTCAGGTCCAATCAAAAAATGATTAGGAGTCAAGCTTTCCGAGTCACAGGAGTCGAGAGAAACATGAGTCAGTGGTCGAGAGTTGATTATGTTTTCACACTCTGCAAAGAGAGTTCGAAGAATATGTTCAGGTGGATGTTTTGTTGTTAACATTTCTTTAAGGATTTTTTTGATACTTTGAATGAGACGTTCCCAACTTCCACCCATGTTTGGAGCTAGTGGTGGATTATAAATAATTTTTATGCGTCTGAGGGATAAATACTTTTGGACTTCATTATCTTGAAGCAGAGTTTCAAGGTGTTTTGACAGTTCTTTGTCCCCTCCAATGAAATTACTACCGCAATCACAAAAAACTTCATCCGGGAATCCACGCCTGCAACCCATTTGACGAAGAACATTAATGAATGAACTTGCAGTTAAGTCATGTGTGATTTCCAAGTGAACAGCACGTGTAGCCATGCATGTAAAAATCACACCGTATCTTTTTTCCTTATTTCTTTTCAGAGGTACTTCTATAGGTCCGAAATAATCTACTCCTGTTCGAATGAAGGGACGAATTGTAGGTTCAATGCGACAAGTTGGCAATTGTCCCATTTGAGGTATAGTTGGTGTTGCTCTTCGATTTTTGCACCATTGGCAACTATTCCAAATACTTTTGACAGCTTGCCTCATTCGTAGGATCCAAAATCTTTGGCGAAGATTATTGATAACGATTTCTTGGCCATGATGGTACACGTCTTCGTGGTATCTGTGAATTAGAAGTTTTGTAATCATATGATTAGGGTCTAGGATGATTGGTCTTTTTGTATCTAGGCTAAGTTCGGAAGATTTGTCTAGTCTTCCACCAAGTCTGATTAGTCCGTCTTCTTCAGAATAGATACAGGATAAAGAATACAACCTACTTTTAGAATTAAGAACTTTCCCTTCTTTTAATGCAGCTATTTCATTTGAAAATGCATCTTGCTGAACTCTCTTAAATAAAATGTTTTCAGCACTTCTGAGTTCATCAGTTGAAAGTTCACCGCAGACATTTTTCTTAGTTTTCAATATTTCTAAAAACCTTAAAACATATGCTGTGGTTCTTAAAAGTCTTAGCCATTTTGAGAATCTATTAATATCGGGAATTAAAATATTTTCTTTAAAAGTCAAAATAAAAATAAAATTATTTGGTCTAGTTTCTAAGGTTTCTAAGTCAACCATGTCATTATCAAAATTTTCTTTTGGCCAATGATCTGGTGTGTCCAAGAGAAATTTAGGTCCACATAACCATTTGCTCTCTGTTGAAGGCATCAATCTCTTCGTAGCTTCATCTGCAGCATTGTCTTTGGAGTTTACATATTTCCATTCTGTACTGTTAGTCAATTCCTGTATTTCACCCAGTCTATGTGCGACAAATACCTTAAATCGTCGAGCTTCGGAGCGTATCCAGTGAAGTACTGTTTTAGAGTCACACCAATAGAATATATTTGATATCTTTAGATTTAAGGATTGATTTAATGAATGACCTAAGCGTGCTCCTAAGAGAGCTCCCTGTAATTCTAATCGAGGAATAGATAAAGGTCTAAGTGGAGATACTCTAGTTCTAGCACATACAAAGGTCACTTCCACCTTATATTCTTGTTGAATTCTCAAATAGGCCACAGTTGCATAACACGTCTCAGAGGCATCAACAAAAACGTGAAGTTGTATATCACTCGTATTTCTATCCAAGGTGAAGTACTGTCTAGGAATGTTAAATTTGTATATATTTTTTAAATCTTTCATAAAAATTATCCATTTTTCATTCATATTAAATGTGATTTCGTCATCCCATCCAATCTTACTTCTCCAAATGTCTTGTAAAAGTAATTTACCGTGAACAAGTATATGAGATAAAAATCCTAAGGGATCAAAGATTGACATGACAATTTTTAGGACCTCTCTTTTAGTAGGTCGTCTACGATTTTCAAAAATGTCGGTGTCAATTTTTTGAAATTTTGTTTCGAACTTAAAAATATCTTCTTTTGGGCTCCAAAATACTCCTTAAATTCTCTCTGTGGTCGTTTCGTCATGATTTTCAAAATGTTTAGTTGTCTCCGCTATTAGGTCAGGATGGATAGTATCTAAAATATTTTTATCGTTGGCAATCCAATTACAGATAATAAAACCTCCTTGTTTGTGGACAAATATAACGTCATTTATCAGTTGAATGGCTTCTTCTTTAGTGTCAGCCCCTCCTAGATAATCGTCCATGTAGTGATTATAAATAATATCGTGAACAGCAGCTGGAAAATCGTCTTGATGGTCTCTGGCATTTCGATTTTTGGCTTCTTGGGCCAAACACGGTCCACTAGATGACCCAAAAAAGACAACACAGATTTCGTAGATGTCTGGGACCCTGTCTCTATCCATTCCTCTCCACAAGAGTCTTTGTGCCTGGCGATCTTCTTTTCTTACTTGTACTTGTAAAAACATTTCTTTGATGTCAGCCGTGAAGGCATATTTTTTAATCCTAAAGTTTAGGAGAATATCTTGCAGTGAATGATAGAGATCTGGACCGGTCAATAAGTGGTCATTTAGGCTTACGTTATTGCTGGCAGCTGATGCGTCGAAGACGATTCTCAATTTATCTGGTTTTTTGGGGTTTATGACTCCAAAGTGAGGTAAGTACCATGTCAAATTTGAAGTAATATATACTTCGTCTTTAGTCAATTTTCTAATATAGCCTTTGTTTAAAAGATCTTCAAATTTCTGATAGTAGCTTTCTGCGTATCTTTTGTTTTTATCCATTCTCCGTTCAGTGTAACAAAGTCTCCTAAAGGCATTTGTTTTGCTTTCAGGCATAACAATGTTGTCATTCTTCCACAACAGGCCTGTTTCATATCTGTTCCCAACTCTTTTCATAGTCGTGTCTAATATTTTTTGGGCACGTCTGTCTTCTGGTGATAAACCTTCCTCTTTTTTGCTAGAAATAGATTCCAGTTTCCACTGCTCTTTTACCAGATCATGTAGAATGTCTAAATCATCTTTAGTCTTGACATTGCTACTCTGGATATAACAAAGAACGTCATTTTGAGTAGGCTTTGGACTATTTTCTTCGAGGTTTCCATGAAGAACCCATCCCAGCAGCGTCTTACTAATTGCGGGACCACTCCAAGGACCTGTTATTAACTGTCGGTTAACTAACAGGGGCCAATTGTCTTGTCCTATTATTATTTTAGGTTGCGCATGTTTCATTGAATATATTTTACCAATGATATTTGGATAACCGTTTTTAAGTTTGTCAACATCTATTGTCTGCGAGGGTAAAGATAGTCTAGTTGTTCGAACGTGTCTTAACTGAAAACTAGTACTCTCGTTAATTCCAGCTATGGTAAAACTTACTACTCTAGAATCATTTTGATGATGAACTATATCATCGTTAGTCCATTGTAGACAAAGAGATTGGCATGGACCTGACATTCCAAGAGTATTCGCTAAATTTTGATCTATAAGACTAATGGTAGAAGCATCATCAAGAAGTGCGTAAGTTTGATATCTCTTTTCACAATAATAAATGTACACAGGCAAAATTTTTAGTAAAACATTTTTATTTGTCGATATATGGCAGTTGGTACCTGTAACAGCTTCAGAATTGTCTGAATTTGTGGGAATATCCTGTCTGGAAATAGAGGTTTTATGTAATAGCTCATGATGTGGCTTATTACATCCCTCAATACCACAAGTCTTTCTCTTTCTGCATGTCCTTATATTATGGAATGGCGAAAGACATGAGAAACAGATTTTCTTTGCTGTTATTAATGACCACCTTTCGTCGGTAGAAAGTAATTTAAATTTTTTACAAACACTGACATGATGATTGTCATCGTTACAATAAATACATCTTATATTCGTAACTTTTGTTGTCATAGTAATGTCTTTTTTGGCATTTCTAAATTTTGAGTGGTTCTGATTTTGAAAACTGTCTGTCTGAAAATTAATTTGGGTCATATTGTTTGCCTTTTCATCTAACCATTGGCTTAGTTCGACCAATTTTGATTTTGGATTAGGAATTTTTGAAAGATATTCAATCCATAAAAGTTTATAACAAGTAGGTAACTTATTTAAAATATCAGTAATTAAAATGGGGTTTCGCAAATGATCTTCTTCGTGCAAAGATTCTAAAGTGGCTACAAAATTTTTGATTTCGTCCGAAAATTCAATAAAAAGATCAAATTTATCTTCTTTTATGTTAGGAAATTTCTTTATTTTGTCCAAAAGTACAAAAATTATTTGTTCAGAACGACCAAATCGAGATTCCAATAATTTTATGACTTTTTCAACGTTTTGTGGCATAATTAGTAATGATTGAACGACTTTTTTAGCATTGCCTTTCAGACATTTTTGTAATCTAAACTGATTTTCCTCATTCGAATAACCACAAAGTGCGTTTGAATTTCGATATTGATTGATAAAATTTGGCCAATCCATAGGGTTACCATCAAAGAATGGTAATTCCTTTGGCAACGATTGTCGAGTAAGAAATTTTGAAATTTGTGGAAGGCTCATTTCATTTGGTACTTTTGAAGTAGACGGTATATCTGGATTATAATAGAAAGGTTCTCTTACCATCCCATCTTCTAGATTTGTTTGTGAATGCTGAGTGTTTTGTTTACCTCTCCAAGGATTCTCACCACCGATCCAATCCTCCATGTTAGGACGAGCTGACTCATGTAGTGACGATCCGGACTCATTGCTTTCAAACTCATCTCCTATCTCTTCCAGTTGTAAAGCTAGCTCTAAATCCAACAGCTCCTGCTTTTTCTTTAATTCCTCTTGCTCCAACTGCTTTTTCTTTATTGCATTCTGTATTTCAGCTACCCTGATTTTAGATGCTTGGCTATTCTTACTCTTGACTGTCTTTCTAGTAGAAATATCTTTACTTGAATTAATAGCTGTCAGTCCTGTCGCCTGCGGAACATCCTCCGCTTGGATTCTCGTCTGTCCTGTCAACGGGGGTGCTCTCTCAGATTGGACTTTTTTCTGTTTTAATTCTTTCAAGCGTTTGCTGCGTCTTAATAAATCTGTCTGTGCATGAGAACTCATTATTTCCCTAGTGCTGGTGTCAATAAAGGCTCAAGGACCATATGTTGTAATGTACAAACCTGTAAAATAGATATTTATATCCGTGTCGAAGAACCATATGTTGTAATGTACAAACCTGTAAAATAGATATTTATATCCGTGTCGAAGAACCAAAATTATTAATTAGAAAGATTAAGATTAACAACTTTTTATTGTCACTGTCATCAAATCTTTTTTTTCATTTTTTTATGTACAGGGTGTAACAACTATATACAATATAAACATTAACAAGTAAATACAAATAGAAGTCAATATATAACATACATCCTTTACATCCTTTACATCCTTTACATTTCAGAACAAATGACACATCTTCATTTTACATTTACTAAGAACTTACCACGCAACTACTAGCATCGTCTACATGATTTACAATAATCTGTATTTCATAGAATAGGCAAGATCAAGGCCACAAACTCATACGAATCATTTAAGCATGAATTTGAATTATTACACTTTCACTAAAGTGTTAAGATTTATATAAAATAAATTGCCTCTGTTATGATACAGGGGTTTCTTTACATTCCTTTAAATATTTGAACCCCTCATTCATTAGTTATTCCTTCAGGGTGACATGCTAAAATACATATTTCAATAATGTTTCCTATTAATGCGACGCATCATGGTAATTGTGGTTCCTTCTTTTCTTCAGATTTAAATAATTTAAGTCAGCTTTTCCCAAACGGTGAGAAAAAATTTAATATAACTAAAGTTGTCTCTTAAACGTTGTTCCCATTCCCAAAATATTTACTGCTTGTAACTGTTTAATTAAACGTTAAAACAAAGTCCTAGTTCAACTAAAGACATACTCAACGTTAAGACGACGTTGTCCAAATTTCTACACCAAGTACAACGTTAATTGTGGTGTATTATGTGGTTATCATCGTCAAAATGGTACTTCGGTAGAATGTTCGATGATACTAAATTGCAACTTCTGGTGAAGGTACCATATTGTAATAAATATATGAGCGAGGAATATCGTTGAACCTTCGAGAGCCTTCGCCTTTTTAAATAAATAAGAAGTGTTGATGTGGCAGAGACAGTTGATAGAAAGATTTTGTTGTGTAAATGTAAATTGTCTATATAAATTATATAATATAGAATTTAGGCATTTGAGGTTTAAAATAAACGTTACAATATAATAGTAATCTCGTAATAATTTATTTTTGCATAACCTACTTTATTTTTAATAATGTGGGTATGTAAATGTTTAATGATTATGTTTTAGTTTTTTGTTACGAATTGTGATATTCAATATAGAAAATGAATTTTATTAACAACCCAGTTTTGCCGTTTTATTTACTGTTACTAATAACAACACTGGTTCTGCAAAAGTTTTGGGTACCGCTGACTTAAATGATTAATAATTATCTATTTTATGTTTATTAATACTTGATATGGTATTAATGTTAACAACTATTTACAGGTCCTATCACTGCCTTCTGATTTCGTATACAATCCTCCTGGAACTGTCGTGGCTGAAAAACAGGAACCATCATCAGCACTAAACGCAGACTTGCAGCGTCATCAGTCAATAAAGCGACTCGGTCCCAAACATTTTAAAAATATTGAAGAGTCAATAACAGATATTTGCGATATTGAAGAGTCTGATCATTTTCCAGACAAGTGCAATTTAAATATTTTACAAGAAACAAGCAATATATTAAAAAAAGATGAAAAGCCGACTTCTAAAAATGAACTAACTCCGTCATTTTTAATGATCCCTCAAGAAATGAAACCAATGAAACCATCCGGAAGTTGCAAAAACTTATTTCAAAAACAACTATCCATGGATATTGTTGAGGAGTCTTCTTTTTTGTTGACTATTCCAAAATATAGCGACTCAAACCTTAGGTATAAAACTCAAGATGAGAGTATTAGCGTAGAAATAGAAGATAACGATAAAAGTTCAAACAAGGTTGATCTTATCTTGTAGATCTATTTTTATATCTCTATACATAGTAGTTAAGAAAACTTGTTAGAAATATTACTTTTCATAAATCTCTATTAAATATTTAGTACGTAAGACAGTGATTTTTGTTTATCTCCTCAAACTCCTAAAATCCCTCTTTTTAAATTTATTTTTTTAATTTTATTTGTGGTCAACGTGTTTCGGCAACTTTTTTTTCTTGAAGGGTAATCCTCCTTGACCCCCTAGTGATTGGTTTAATCGCGCCTTAGCGTGTGGGATTCCTACTGTTGGGTACAGTTCCGGCCTACTCTATAAATCCCTCCTTTTTCAACCCCAGCATCCTGGCATCATCTTCTAAGAGAGTTATTTGGGGTGCTAGGTTCCCGTGGCTGGTCTTCATGTTTGCATTTTCCTGTCACGAGCGTATTTGGATTCATTTCTGGAATCGTCTAAAAGCGCGTACACACCTGAGCACTTGGGTCGAATGAGCATTCGGATGCCACATCACGTATCTATCCAAACGGAATAGTAGTAGCCAGACACATGAGCTCCATAAATACACTCTTCTTGGATGAAATTCATCGTCGTGTCTGTTGGATTCACGTATTCTGCTAACCGTCTTCTTTCACTAGCGTCGTCATCCACACTAAGCAGATTTGAACGCGTTCGCCGCACTACTTGTGTCCTTAATGACGTTTAGCGACGTTCAGTGCAACTTTCCTTTGAGTGGTCTCCATCTTCTTTCGATATATTGCTACATTTATAATTTGGGCTCATGTGGACGCTCCATATAACGGATACAGTGTACCACCAAAGGAAATCTTAGTAAACAGAGTAGTAGAAGATAGTGAGTGCAGACTCTGTGACGAGGAGGACAAAATCTCAATTCACATTCTGACTGAATGTGTAGCGCTTAAGAAACCAAGGGCACTATACCTAGGAGCATATCAAATAGAAGTGGGCGATCTACCTAAGTTGAAGCCACTGCAAATCCTACACTTCCTTAAGAAGATAGGATTGGAACGGTCATTTTAGGCATCGAGAGTATTTCCTAAATGCATTAGCGCCAGAAGGGAGCACACTAGATCTTTTAGATCACAGTGCATTAATACCACATGCTTAACATGGCATAACACTTAAGACTTTCCGACCGATAATGTTTTTTTATTAGCCTAGAGAGGCATATCCGACTCTTTTCTGCTATGCTAACTACCATCTCTTCTGGTTTCCCAAAGCTGCTTACTTCATATATCACTGTGTCTAGGCACCTCAATTATCCCAGGTAGCAATGAATATTGGCCTGATATAGAAAGTCAATATTGCCCCAAGATTACAATGTTGGCTTGACAAACTATTTCAATATTGGCTGCGCATCAAAGTGCTAACGCCTGAAAAACGAGGGCCAACGTTATATTCAAACATTAATTCAATATATTTTTTCGATAAAATGCCAATATAAGTAAACAAAATTGGATGAAGATTAACGTGTATATTGAATACAATATAGAAATTATGCCGCACGACAAACAAAACTTAATATTGAGTTTCATCATTGGTCCTATATTTGTCTTTAATTTTGCACCTACATTGTTCTATAATATTGGTTTAAGTTATGCATTCATTCTAAAAACAATGCTAGGTTAAAAACGTATTTAAATATTGGCTGCGGATCAAAGTGCTAACGCCTGAAAAACAAGGGCCAACGTTGTATTGAAACATTTATCCAATATATATTTCAGTAACTCGCCAATATAAGTAAACGATATTGAGCTTATATTAAAGTGTAGATTGGATACAATATAGAAATTATAATGCAGTACAAACCAAATTCAATATTCTTTTTCAATATTGGTCCCATTTTACGCCATCATTATCATGCAATATTGGCTTTCAATTTGAAACCAATATCGGCAAATTTATGTACAACAGGATAGGTCCAATTTTTATTGTCATACTATATTGGTATGAAATAAATACTGGAATCTAGTTTAAAACCCATTTTACCATTTAGTTTAATATCAATATTGGCATTCAATATTAATTCTCAAACCTTTCCACAAATATTCCTGGGATCGATATGAACAAAAAAGTAAAACACTATTTTTTCACTGAGTGTATATATAAAGTCATTACATATTTGTTTGTAGGATAACGCTATCTAAACTGAGCCAAATATGCATTTTATACTTATTTTTTCTGGCCAAATACTTTAATGAAAAACGCTATTTTTACATGTTTGTTTATGTTGATCCCAGAAGCCCTTTTTTCCTTATTTTACTGGGCTATACAGCTTTTAAAAGCCATTTTTAAATATTTCAATGATTGCATGTGGACGTGAATAGTATAAGGGCTATAATAATAAAACTATTATAAAACTTCATAAAAAAGTTTAATATTACTTAAAAAAAAGGACCAACACATATTAATATTACAATAACATTAAGCAAAACAAGGAGTTAAAATTAAAAATTAAATTTTTGTTATGCAAAATACATGTGATGAAAGATCGGAAGAACTTAAAATTTACAAAATTTATTTTAATTATAATTCAGTATGCAGTAGAAACACCACAACATTATTTTCAAGATTAAATATCAATTATTTTATATTAATTTCTTTAACAGAAACCCTTTCCAATGTTTGTATGTGATGACATGAACTTTAAAATACCCAAATCTCTTAAGTCAATTGCTACCTCATCAGGGAAATAGTTTATCGGATTTGTATAGCAATAGCCATCTAGAAAAACATTACTTTCAGTTTGTATGACTTGGGTAATTTATCATTTTTTATTATCAAAGTTCTGTTTTTAGAACAATTATTATTGGAAAGAATATCTGAATAAAATATGTTCATTAGAAAATATTGATACATTTGATATGTTGGATATATTTGTATTAACAGAGAGATTTCTGTTCTTTATGGCATACTGACATTCCTATTGATCATCTGTACCTTGTTCACTGAAACATATTGAATATTGAAAATTTCAGGCGAAGTGAGAGGAGTATCACTGGATATTTCAGAAAGATCCGCTAAGTGCTATTTGACCGCCGTGTCAATTCTTCGGCACTTAACTGCACGCATCATTGTCTGGAATTTCTGAGTTCTGAAATTGATATTTTTTTAGTAAATGACATAAAAGTTATTTGAGTTTAACATTATTTATATGAGGTTTGGGCCCTGTTTCGTGTTAAACTAATACATGAATAAATACGTATAATTTTAAACATACAAAAAATACAAATTGTTTTTTACTTTCTTTACATAACAGTTGCCTGTAATGTCATTCTCTATAATTTTTGTTCTATACATAATTTCCCTAAAATGGACCGTATTCAAGAAATTTGACAAAAAGTGTAAAATTCAAATTTTTAAGAAAATTTTTAAAATAAAAGTTGTTGTGACGTCATTTTCTATAATTTTTGTCCCATACATGATTTTCCTAAAACTGTATTCGATAAATTTGAGAAAAAGTGTAAAAAGACCATCATATTTATGACTTTAGGTATGACAAATCAGATTTTTAGAATTACATTTTAGGTTTAGAAACAAAAAAAAAAAAAAAGAATTAAAAAATACCTATAGTAATTTTATGAAAATTGGAAAATATTTTTGGCTAGAATCCTGGATGATTCTGTAAATCCGAAAGTGGCATCACTGTCCTAAATATTACCATAGGGTACCTAGGTATGTATTTTCTGATAATACATCTTTATACATTTTTATAAATTTATTAAGGTTGACGGTTCGAATCAATATTGGTCCAAGACAATCATGACATTGGCCTAATATTGGCAAATATTTCGAAATACAGTCGATTTATTCGGTTGTTTGTTAATAAACAAAAACATTGATTTCTACTTACCATTTTTCTTTTAATCCAAAATCCAGATGAAGAGGCACTTCTCAATAATGCAGAAAACTCTTTAAATAAAAAAACAAAAAATTAGCTCCCCTCAAATTTAAAAGAAAATGTGTGGAAACATAAAGCTTTAACGGTAATCCGGCATTTTACATCATGGCGTGTTACATATTTCAATTAATAGTAAAAAGACTACATCAGTTGTTATGTGGGAGGTTCTTAAAAATGTTTAAACAAAATAACTTTTATCTTAGTAATAGAAAATATTATTTCTTTAAACAATTATTCAGTGTTGCCAGAATATTTTTCTGTTATGTGTTTTACCAGTGACAGTCTGATTATATTCATAGAAAAGCAAAAAAAATTAAAAAAAAGTGTAGCTAATAGGTACACTAATAGAGACCCAGCCAAATGAAGGCATACGCACAGGCTGGGAATAAAAGTACCCACTAGCTTTTGCCTTGAGCGCACCAAATATCAGATTTTTTAAAATTGTACTAGACTGGCAACACTGACACACTACACACTCGAAATTCAAAATATTAAGTAGGTATATACCAAAATATTACAGTACAAATTATGCACTGTATGAATTTTATGCGTACAGCGCATGGTGTTTTTTTGTACCGTACCGTAATATTATGGTTTTAGAGTGTATTGGAACAGACCTGTTGTAAACTGAAGCCGGATTGCCATTTGGTTAAAGTGATCAACGATTAGAATCAATATTGGCTTGAGATAGACATGCAATTGGCCTAATATTGGCGATAATTTCAAACTATAATATATTTTTTTTTAATTAGCAAAACAGGTTTAATAGGTGCGCGCAACTATTAACAAAGTAAACTGAAACTGCCGGATTGCCACATGTCTAAAATAATTAACGATTACATTCAATATTGGTTTGAGATATATAGGCAAACAATTGGCCTAATATTGGCAAACATTTCAAAATACATAGCTTTGAATTCTTATTTGTTAATTGACAAAAAAAGATTGTACTTACATTTTATGAAAAAACATCACTCACTCAAAAGCACAGTTTTCACTAAACAAAATTCGTAGCTTATATTAAAACAAGTATCCGGGAGGCGTCCTGCGTCCATACAGATCTGTTAATTAATATTACAAGACTGAGGCAGTGAGCAGTGAGGCAGGATGGCGCGTGGCTTGACCTGTGATCTCGTGATCACTCACGTGACTTAGGTCGGAGGGGTGGATAAGGTTGTTTCATAACAGCTC